CTCGGCCTGGGCTAGCTGAAGCTGTGAGGTGGATCCTGCTGGAAAACTCAAGCTCTTCGGGTAATGAAGCCCTAAGCGGACAGGGCTGTGTAAGTAGGACTCACTCACTACCTGCTGCTGAGAGGTAACCTAACTAGGTCCACGTGAAAGGGTCACGTACATTAACCAAGCCCCACTCGCTTGCTCAGACAGTGACTCTTGCCATACATTTTGAGTCACATATGCCCTGCTTCTCTCCTTCAGGGATGTACCAAGGCCGCATGTTAACCAAGCCTGCTTTCTGGTTGTGTAAGACCTCCTCATTCCCCTAGAATCTTTAAGAGTAGCACACGCCTTGCTTTGGCCAGCAGGGCTGAAATTCTTCAGAGTCCTCTTGTTCCACCACGTTGCCTATTGCCAATTTTCATAAACCTCTTGTCTAAAAGATGATGTGACTCTTTTTTGAAAAAAAAAAAAGATGTTTCTCTCTTGAATATCCTCTCCTCTTCCTCCCTAAAATATAACATATTCTTCTGAGAAACAAGGCATAGAACAAGGGAATCAATTTGATACAGGATGGAGTCGAGAAGCAAAGCAAAAGGGCTGTCCCGGGGGTCTTGGCAAGTTTGGTCTTATTCATCACTTCATGGCATCACAGCCCAAAAGGACCAAGACACATCACTCTGCTCTTGGCCGCAATGACATCATACACATCTGGTTTTCTTTGTACCTCTCATGTATCCCAAGTCTTTCTGACTATTTTTCCTGACTTTTATAAGCTAAATTTCTCAGCCATCAACCCTAGCTTCATGATCCTCTTGCTCTCCACTCTCAGTGGTTCTTTCTAGAGTTTCATTTGCCATATGAATGATTCTTATTCTGTAATTCTCCCTGTACCTCCTCGCCTAGTCCACTTCTCCTAATGTCCACCTAGCATCAGCTAATTATTCAGGATTCAGCTCAAATGTTCTGATAACATCACTTCACCATAGAAGTCTTGTCTTAGTGATTGTTTATGTCTCTTCCACTAGACCAAATATATCATGAAAGCAAGGAACGTGTCTGTTTTTGTCACTGCTTTATGGGAAGGGAGGATTTTTAGGCATACAAAAAGTATCTGTTGAGTAAATCAATGTCTATAAAAAATGAATGAACATGGGGTGAGGTGGGTGCATGGGGAGCTATGAGTTATCAGAGGGAGTCAAGGTCTATATGACAAGTGACATGGCAGGTTATAAAGCATGGGCATACTTCACATGGGATTTTAGCATGATGAGATTCTCATGGAGAACAATACTAAGTCTCATCATCTTAGGTTGTTTCTAAATGCTTACACCAGTCTACTGATACAGCTTTCAGAATATCTCAGAGCAAGTACCTAGATGTGTATAGCCCAGGCTCCAAGATGAGACAGCAGGATAGAGCAGGTGGCAGATGGACAAACTGGTCTAAAATACTGCCGCTTTCTGTGGATGCCATGATACAGAGAAATTTGCACAGCTGGATGGACCATATGTGTAGCTGGCTTTTGCTATTGGTGAGGTTTTGTTTTTGTTGTTCTGTTTTTTAGACGTGATTAAGAACTTATGTTGAAAAGAAAAATAAACTGAATGAATAAGGCTTTAACTTGAGTCAATCTAGAAAACTAGGTTTCCATTCACTGTGTTCCCAGGCAGCTACTAAGACGATATCAGCAGAGCATCGAATGCTGCTGTATGTTTCTAAAGTGATGGAAATAAATGGAGAAAAACAATAAGTGAAACATGTAAGTGTAACTAGAACACAAAGGTAGTTAGGAGCGTATGCTAGATTGGCTTGGTTGGTTTTCTTTTTCTTTCTCTATCTTGCCATAATATTTTTATCAAAAGTAAAAGTACAAAACATTTTAATAGTAATAAACATAAGGATAAATGAAAATAGCATTAATTTTTTTGGCCCACTCTAAGCCCTTAACCTGGGAACATAATTTTGGCATATGTGAACATCTTTAAGGGTGTAATTTTTACCGTAAAGGCTTTTATGATAAGCTAAGTTGATTGTAAAATGTACAATATATAAATTAGGGTTCTTTCTTTAGGAAAAAATGTAAGCAGAGGACATATTCTTCAGTAGAAGAATTTTGAAAATCATTTCAGTCAAGGTTTCTTTCAAGCCAGTTTTCCTGGACTGTCAGATCTACACACTCGGTACAGGTTTTATGAAAATAATAGTATGTTCACTTGAGGGCAATCAGTCTGCTATTGAGTGTTCTATGCCAATACGTAATGAGCTCCTTATCTCTGGGTTTTAAATGTCGCAAAGGAATCAGTTGTGATAATCAGTCTTGCTTTTATGTTCTCTGTCCCAAATATGAATAAACATGAAAAATAATCTTCATACATTAGTAATTAACATGATTATTTTAGTGGAGTTTTAAGAAATATCAACCTCAAGTTTCATGGCTTTTGCAAAACCAAAGGTTGAAAAAGTCCAATTTACATAGCGGAGTCTAATCATCACCGCTGTTGTGCCTGCTCTAGGCTTCACGGTCTATACAGAAATGTAGGGGCATTAACAGAATTATTCAGGAAATTTAAACCAATTAGATTTGTCTCTAATTTCTACTGCCCAAGCAAGACTTTTAAAGTTCCTTAAATACCAAGTGAATGTAGATGTATTTAAAGGAAAGAAAGTCAACGGAAAGAGACAACAGTGCTAACACCAATAACACTAAACCAAGGTTGTTAGTGCAGATAAAAAGCTTATCCCGTGGAAATTCATAGTTTGCCTCCTCTGAGTCAGGACATCTGACTGTGGGATGACAACTACGTCAGACACCTTCTGATGCTATTTGTTAGCACAGTACAAATGTACATCTAACGTTTGGTTGTTATGAGACAATTTCAAAGAAGGAACTTATTATCATTTTCTCTAGAATTCAGGTCAGGGACGTGTGTTGATTTTTTTAAAAAAATTTTTTTATACTTTCTTAGAAATGATTAACATTAAAGGATAGTAAGTATACATTCACTTGGTTTTAGTAATATTTTAACAATTTAAGATAAGTCTTTTCTGAATGAAGTTTGCTAAGACAGTGTGACTTCTGAGACAGCCTATCCATCAGCAGGCCTTCTGAACAGAGGTCTATTCACCAGCAATCGATAAGATTAGCAACTGATCTAATCAGAGGTCTCTATAAGCAAGTTTGATCCAGTATATAGTTGATCTAATTGTTGGTTAATCTGCTAATGAATGATACAATCTGGTAGTTGGATCTATCCATAGATAACCAAATCAATAATTCCAATCAAGTCTGTGGTTATTGAATATGTCAGTGGCTAATTTAATCATTGTTTGACCAATCATCACATATACAAGAGTAACTTATGTGAGGTGATAGACGGGGTTAGTAAGCTTAGTTACTGTGATCAGTTTCTAATTAATACATACATCAAAACACATTGTATACACTAAGACTGTATGTTTGTTTGCTGATGTCCAAATTATAGTCTAGCAAATCTACTGGTCAAACAACACTGGGAAGTATCTTGATGGAGACAGTCATTTTATTATTTCTTATTCCATAATGCTAACTGTTTGGTTAAACTGTTATTGTTTTATAAAACTGTATCTATAGATATTTTCTAATTTAAGTATGATATAATAAATTACTACATAAATATGAGAAGTTATAAAAGATTAAATACTTCTTGGTCATGAAAAATATCTTCATGAATATGGAATAATTAATATCTGTTGTCATGGTCATGTCAAAGCATGTTTCCAAAGATCACCTCCACAGGGTCATCTACTTTCATAACAATTTACAAAGGCTTTGCATAATGCCCTCAATTAAAATGCAGCACTAGCTACCACTTTAAAGATGTGCTATCTGAGGCTGAGAGACAGGTGTTGGGAGTCATGACCAAGAGAGAGCAGAGGGACGAAGGCTTAGCTTTTTGTTCTGATTCATATTCCTGTGTGGCCAACGGTGGTTGGTCAAATCTTCCTTCCAACTGTCTAAACCTGGATTAAGTACACTCGTTTCCTTCCTCCCTGGACGTGGCCCGTGTGTAAGTGAATCCGTGAGTGGTCTGAACTCACACACTGTCTCTCTGTTATTTCTACAAAGCCAATAGGTGTTGAAAAGGGTCTCACTCACAGTCACTTTCCCACCGCTGGTGACTTTAAGGCTGAGATCGGTATCGACTTCTACTTGAATAATAGGAGTTATGTGAAATCCATCTACCCTGAGCGGCAAGGAAATAGATATCTAGCAGAGCAGCTGGACTGCGTTCCACAAGACAATGGCTTTTTCTCTAAGTCTGAAGTAGCTGCTCACATTTTTAAGATGACCACTAGGCGTCTTATTTGCATATCTGCAGTTCTTAATATTTTACTCCTAGGTCAAATGTTATTTTCATGGATTCTTAGAGCAAAACATTTTACTTCTTTTGTGCTTGAGATCACTACAAAATTACTGATAAAATTTTGACATTAATATGGACTTAACATTAAATTTTATCTGTTTAATTCTTCTGCTGTCCTATAGGATATGAATTATCAGTTGTATTGGTGAGAAGTGGGAGGATTATGAAGACCATGTTTTTTAAAGTAACATACTTTTCTTTGAAGTAAAAAGAATCTTGAATATATCACATCTTTGTCAAACATTAAAGCTTTGTTTTCTAGCAAATCATCCTTGAAGAATTGCATATATATATATAATTATAGTTAATGAGATATTTAGCATCTAATACCATGAGAAAGTATATTCAGTCTGACAGTTACATGTTTTATTGTAATTGTTTACATTGGACTTTAAACTACCACTTACCTTCTTGAATTAATCTTTGCAAACTTAAGATTTCATGTTGAAAAGTGCCATCTTAAGTAAGCGTATTGTATAACAAGTTTGCTTAATAGTTCTTTTAAGTAATCAGTCTTACTGCTGGAGCACTGACATGAAGTTCAGATATTTGACCTTATCCTATTAAAATCATTTTTATCAAGATAAAGTCCCCAAAGTGAGTCTCACTTACTTTGCTTTTGCTTCTGCATCTTCATACGCTTTGTTCGAAACATCATCCAGTCCTCCAATCAAATGCTTGAATGAGCTGTCAGAGGAAAACCAGAGTGATCAAGTTAAGTCCTCTGCAAAGTCAAAATAATGGCAACCAGTCATGAATAGTGAAATGATTTAAAGGCATCTTAATAAAAGTGAATTTAAATAACTTAAATACATTGCTAAGCAATATGTTAGGTAGCAGAATTTCCTCTGATCAGGTGGTAATAATCACGAGGTCAAGGGCTTCTTCTATCTGGACAGCCTCTGTACCCAACATCTAATCACATTTAACAACCACATCTGGCAAAAACAGATATTGAGCCAACTGGGTGGACTGAAACCTAGACTATGCGAACTGTAAGTCAATCCCTTATCAAATAATTAACAAAAAAATATGCCAATGAGGGAATGCCTACTCTGCCAACTACCTAGCATTAATTTTTATTAATTTCATACAACCTCTAAAGGCAAGCAGCAACAGAGGCATCTCCATGGAAAAGAAAGAAAATAATAATCATAGGCAAATTGAGGATTATAGAAAAATTAACCTATTTAAGAAAGTGAAAAACTCACTTTGCCATGAAGTAGGAAGATTAACTACTTAAAGCTAATCTATTCAGTATCGACTATTTATCTAGAATTCTCTTTAGATTTACTTTATATATGCTTAAAATATAAAATGTTATAAAGAAAAAAACCATAATGAATACACACATACTAGAATTCCCTTAACATTTACTGAACACAGCCAGATACATTAACTCTTTTGCACATGCCATTTTGGCAAGCACTGAAATAGATTGGATGAGAAACACGGAAGAAACTCGATAGAAATCTGTCTGGACTGTCACATAATAACCAGAACTTCAGGTCTCATGTGGTTCTGGCAACTTTTGTCGGTAGTACACTCGCCCCGGAAGGAAATGGTCACTTAGGCCAGGTACTTGGCAGTATCTTGTCTCTGGTGCCCATGTGGTTTCTGTTTGCCTCACTCACCTGCTATAAAATTCTGTCTGAGTACATGAAGCCAAGTAAGCACAGCCAAACCCTTTGCAATAGTGAGTGGAAATGAATCTTTCTTTCCTTGAGCTTTTATGGTCAGGCATTTGGTCACAGTGATGAGTGGCAACTATACCAGGCCTTGCTCAGTGCCCACAAGTACTGTACAGTCTGTTGTAAGTCAGTAGCACCTCCATTTTATTGGTGGGTTTGTGACAGAGTTAGAAGCCCACCCCAAATCTTACACCCAGTAAATAAATGTGATGAACTCCTAGGAAGGATGTGATTGTTCTCCTTCCTAGTCAGAAATCTATTCTATAGCTCCATTCAAATCACCACGCTTTGAAGATAATGATAAAAAATTTTAGTACTATATAGGCTCTTACTAGGGAGTTTTAAGGTAATGTATTAAATTATAATATCTACCTCTATATTTTTGTATATGCATGTGTATGTTGTTGTTTGTGTGTGTGTGTGTGTATGTATGTGTGTGTGTTTGTGTTTACACATGAAGTCCAGAGGCTGATGGTAGATGTCCTCCTCGATCTTCCTCCAATGTTACATACTGAGGCAGAGTCTGAGGCAGAAGAACCTGATTTGTTTCTTCTAGCTAGCCAGTTTGCTCTGGGGATCGCCGTCTCTACTTTAAGCATAGGGATTCCAGACAGGCTTCTAGGCCAGGCCTGGCTTTGTGTGAGCACCAGGGAGCTGAGCTTTAGCTCTTACACTTGTACACCAACCATTTCACCTTCCCCATTCTATCCGTACAATTTCTTTTTGGAAGTCCTGGGGGTTGAATCTAGGGTCTCTTACATTCTAGACCAAACTGTGCAACACTAATTCATATCCACAGCCTTTTCATAATCTTAATCTCTAAAGGGCATGCAGTTTGAACATGAAATAATAAATTATGCTTGGTCAGTTCCTGAAACCCAGCAGGAAACCTGATGATTTAAATTTCAAAGTCACTTAACTGCTTTCACTTATAATTACTTCTGCAAAAACAACTCTAAAGAGGAGCAGAACAACAGATGAGGGGCAGCTGTTCTCTCAATCCCTGGTGGCGATCCATCTGGGAGGCTGGATCACTGCTCTGCCATGCTCAGCACAGTCACACTGATATTCAAAAGGAGACATAGTACTATAAGTGGTTGTGAAGAACTATTCTTGGTTGTCAACTTAACAACATCTGGAATTAACTAAAACCCAAATGATTGGGCATTTGAAGCAGGAGGAGCCACTTCTAATCTGGATCTTTGGGGTGAGAAGATAAAGCTTTCATCCAGATCTTTTGAGGTGGGAAGACCCACCTTTAAGCTGGATCACACTTTCTGCTGGCAGCCAATATAAAGGGCTTGGAGGAAGGAAGCTCGCTCTCTCTTTGCCTGTTTGCTCTCATGAGGAAGTCCATTCTTTTACTGGCACTAAAATCTACTTCTATGGGATTCTGGTATATACTGAAGATAAGCTGAGACATCCAGCCTTGTAGATTGAACAACTATTGGATTTTGGAGCTTCTATTCATAGGCAGCCATTGTTGGATTAGCTGGACCACAGCCAATAAGCCTATGTATACATATATATGGGTACAAATATGGATTCTATCTATCTTAGCTATCTTATCTATCTATCTGTCTGTCTGTTTATCTCTATTCTCTCTCTCTCTCTTTCTCTTTCTCTGAGAGAGAGAATCATTCTATAAGTTCTGTTACTCTAGAGAATCCAGTGGTGGTTGCCTTTCTAAATATTTCTTAAGGTCTTTTGGCATGACTTGTCTAACAAAGAAGACTTCTGTCAACATTTTTATAGTCTGAAGATCTTAGTAAGATCTCTTGACAACCTTAGCAACTGAATGAGTGGAAAAAATTTATCAGCCATAAAACAAATAACTACAGATAAATCATTAAATTCTTTAAACATACATATCTCATATTTCAGTATTATAAAACAAAATAGTCAATTTCATATGTACTGTGGTTCAATTTCATAAGAAAGTAGGAAGCTATTATTATGTAAAAATCTTTAATTCAGGCGGTCTCAACAGCATACCTCAGTGCACGCAAGCAGCTGCAGATAGACTTGTACGTTAAATTTTCTGGGAAGGGAATCCCATTTTAACAAGTCAAGCAGGGGCTGGAAAGACAGCTCAGTAGTTAACAGCACTGATTGCTCTTCCAGAGGACTCAAATTTGATTCAGAGTACCCACATGGGGCTTACAATCATCTGTAACTCTGATTCCAGGGGACCTGAGGCCCTATTTGTGCTTTTGTGGGTGCTGCACACAGTGCTATGCAGGTATATGTGCAGGCAAAAACACCCATACACATAAAATAAAGTAAATAAATCTTTTTAAAATGCCAAGGGAGGATTCTTCACAGCAAATGAGCAAAATGGTGCTATTTGAATGTAGAATCACAAATGCAGGAACACAGGAGAACAAGTCAGGTCTCCCGTGCATTTAATACTGGTAGTTTAAAGATAACTGCAAGGTGCAGAGGGAAAAGAAAGCCAGAGAGGAAGGGAGAAAGAACAATGGTGAAAGGGACAGATGGAAGAGGAGGGCAGAAAGAAAGCAAGAAAAAGTGAGAAAGGAAATCATGACCCATTTCCTATCAAGCGTGTGAACATTTGTAGACATTCTTCTTAAGAGGCATCGTTGGGAAGGATGCTTCTCATTCTAGGAAATGTGTCTGCTGGAGGACATTATGGTGATTGACTCAGTGGGTAATAATTTCAGCTATTAGGATGTTTTCATTATTAAACCAAAACATCGTTCTGAAGGGAGCTGATTACCCAGTGGTATGTCTAAAATGTGTATAATTTTGTTCTTCAAATCGAGTATGATGAGACCTTGTCTAAAGAGAAACGAGCTTTAAAACTCTCAGGAACACAAAAGTCCAAATTGACAGGGTCCAAGGATCAAGGACTGAAACTGTTGCCGATAAAGAGAAGTATTTAAACATAATTTACAGCTTATAAAGCCTTTTTTTATAACTCATGTGTATGTATTTAAATATAAAAACATATTGATAGTAAATCCTCATGATTTACTATATTTTATGAAGTGTTTAGTAATCATATGTAGGTATTAGGCTCAGAGAGTTAAAATATAATAAAAATAATAATGAAAATAAAACTAATTAGGGAGACTTTTAAATTCAGAATAGGGTGCAATCTGGCTGCGACATCTGTCTCTCCTTTGATTGCTAGGGTTATCAGCAGATCTGGCCCCTTAGGCTGTGTCTCCTTCCCCCCTCACTGTCACATATGTGTCTCTCCTAAAGCTGTGCACTCCATGGAAGGTGGAAGAGGATGACTTTGCCCAAGGATGACCTTCCCTGATCAGAAGAGGAGTGGTCTTCAGCCAAGGGTATATGAGTAACTGCAGTCCCATACTAGAACCTCCAAATAACTTCTCCAGTTCCAAATATGGTACAAAATTCATCTCATATTTGAAGCAGATTTGTTTTATTTGTTACATCTTAAAAAGTCAATAATCTATTCTAAATAATTCAATATTATAAGGCAGAGAATAAATGGAAAATCTTAAATGAGAAAGTAACTTTCTGAGTTTTATATATATACATATATATTATATAGACATATACGATCATCTTAAAATGTGGCACTTGGGTGTAGAGATGGTTCAGTTAATGAAGCCAAGCCTGCACTGGACCCTTGGAACTCTCATGATGGGAGGACAGAACTGACTCCTACGAGCTGTCCTCTGACCTTTCTCCCACATATTGTGGCACAAGCATGCATGCATCTGTCCATATACACCAATAAAAAAAGATCTAATGAAAATTCAAAGTATATAAATAACAGTGCATAAAAGCAAAGCAGATAATAACCACTGTTCTTCCAAATTATCACCACATACTCAGCTAATAATATCACCAAATGTGTAATTTTTTAAAATCTAAGCAAATCCATAATCTGATTATCTGCTGGTTTACTTTTAGCTCGTTTCTAAGATGATTAGATTGGCTCAAATGTAGTGAATCTCTCAATGGTGCTGTACTTTCTTCAGCGAGGTCAGGACTATC